ACACTTTCTTTTTTTTTTTTTTAAACTAATTTTTCCTCTTGTCACAGACACACATTTGTGGTGATTTTCCATGCTCCCAGCAGCCTCTGGGGCAGACTACCCTCAATTCTGATCTGAGACAAACCGGTGTGGCGTTTCCTGTTGTTTAAGCACAGGCACTGGCTGGAGGTGCCTCTCCCAGGTTCCTAGCCCAGCCACCAGCCTTTTTGGGTCGGCAGACACCCTGCTCCCAGGGTCTCACACAGTCCCATGGCTTCCATCCAGAGGCTGGATGACTATAGGCGAATCATTATGGGGCAGGTCAGGCTGTCTCTAGAGATCAAAAAGATCAACCAGAATACACCTGGCCTTCGGCTATGAAACAAGTGTTTACTCAGCACCTACTAACGCAAGGCGCTATTCCACCAGGGACACATGAATGAACAGGACAGGCAAGTGGGGCTGAGTCTACAATGCAGACTGGACCAGGCCCACCACTGAGGAGCAACAAGTGCACTGTGGTGGTTTACACTGACACCTCAACAGGACCAGCATCACCTAGGAAGGAGCCCCTCTCTGCACATGCCTGTGAGGAGGAAGACGCACCCTAACTGTGGCTGGCCATTCATGGCCAGGGTCACTGACTGAATCTAGAAGAGAGCCAAGAGCCAAGTGTGGTGGTGCACGACCTTGATCCCAGACCTGGAGGCAGGTGGATTCTAAGTTCAAGGCCAGCCTGGTCTACACAGCAAGTTCCTGGACAGCCAGGAATACACAGAGAAACCTTGTTTGTTTTTCAGCCTAGGTCTCTGATGAGCTAGCTGCCTCTAGCTCCGAATGCTGTGACTTCACCACAGACTGCACCCTTGAACTGGGAGCCCAAAGCTTCCCTTGAGCTGCTCTCGGCAGGGTACTTTACCACACCGATGGGACGGGTGATGCAGGCACCATTAAGGGAAACCTGGGAGAGGTTTCCCTATGTCCCTCGAGCCCCCAGAACACAAGGAGCCGAGCAGAGTCTTCTGAAAAGAGAGCCCGTGGATCTCTGTGAGTTCGAGGCCGGCCTGGTCTACGGAGTTCAAGGACATTGTAGGCTACACAGAGAAACCCTGTCTCAAAACCAACACAAAGGAAAGAACATAGAGCCCAATGACTTCCGCACCTGTAGATTCTCTGAATAGAATACCCCACCACCTAGCCAATAAAAGTTGTTGTTGCAGACACAGTCTTCCTCTGTAACCCAGGCTGGTCTAAAACCAAAATCCTCCTACCTTAATTCCCAATAATGAGATTATAGGTGTGTATTGACACATGGGTCTTTGAAGGATTTTTTCCCCTAAATTCTGCTAGATATATGTAACAAAAACAGGGTGGGCCACTGAAATGGCTTAGCAGGTAGAGGTGCCTGTTGTCAAGCCCGACACAGAGTCGTGAGTCCTACATGGCAGAAGGAGAGAGACAACACTAACAGTTGCCCCTTGACCTGGCCCCCCACGCACCGCCACCACCACACAAATACATATACTTGTCACGGACAACACTTTTAATGGCGCCGGAGAAGGCTGGCTGCTGTCCTGGCTTCTGGGAAGTCATATGCAAAGCTTCAAATGTCACACCTAGGAAGAGGGTGTCTGCCTGGGTCCCAGACCAGACAAAAAACCATAACAGATCTGAGGTGGCGGTTTGGACCTGGCAAGATTAGCCAAGCTCTGGAAGAGCTGGTGACAGATCAGTCACGTCGCAAGCCACCATGTTGCCAAACTTGGGACCAAGTAAAAACTCTGGACTGCAAGGTGAGGCTTCCTAAAACTGAAGGCACTCCCTGCTTCTTGCTCTATTGTGAGGTTTGCTTCTTTTTAATGAGACAGGGTCTGGCTACAGACTGCCCTCCATGACCTTCCTGCCTTAGCCCCTTTTACAGGTATGAACTACCACACCTGACTGAAGGCTCCCTGCTCACAGCTCCCCACTTTGTAGCTAATACCAGTTGGCCCCGTTCTGTCAGATGGCTTGGAATCTTCTAGAGACACCCTCACCCGCCACCTGTGCTGGATCCCGAGGCTTCCTTTAGCTGATGTCCTTGCTCTGCACTTATGCAGACCCTGGGCAAGGCAGCCTTCAGCTAGGCCTTCCCTCAACTATCACTTGAAGGAGGAACTGGGGACCCTGATGTACAGATGGCACTGGAGAAGCACCCTTGTACCTCAGGAAGAGCAACTTCACCCCAGTCCCAGCAGTGGACCACACCTTCATGTCCAGGGACTTTTTGATGATATGTGATGTGCAGTCGCGTGCTGAGAAGCACAATTCGGTGACAACCCTCCCACCGCCACGGCCACCACGGCCTCCTGCTCACCCAGAGCTCCTCCAGCAGTGCCACAGCCTCCTCTCCACTCTGGGGCCGGCGGCTGCACACCCAGGCCTGGGTGTCTGCGGGGAGGGCGTTCAGGAACTGCTCCAGAACCAGTAGCTCCAGCATCTGCTCCTTGGTGTGCACTTCTGGCTGGAGCCAGTCCCGACACAGGGCCCGGAGCAGCCCCAGGGCCTCCCGCGGCCCCGCCGCATCGCCTAGGTGGAAGTGGCGGAAGCGGTGCCACGGGGAGTCGAGTGTCAGGGCCTCTACGGACAAGGTCTCCTGCTTCACAGGCTGGGCTGCCGGGGCCTCCATGGGGCCACCTGGGTTCGAGTCACCAGCGCCTGCAGAAAGGAACAGTCAGTAACAGGAGGGTACAGGTCAGCAGTCCGGACTATGGCCTCATATGTGGGCGAGAGAACTGGCCTGACGCCAAACTGATATCGACTACTCCCTGCTCGTCCCCTTAGCAGCCTCCTGGGCTTTGATTTCCTACTATGTACAACGAAAGCTTGCCGGCTTGCCACTCTGACCGAAGAGAAGACAGGCCATCAGTGCCTGTGAGGTGGTGATCAGTGCTGAAGCAAGGCTGATTGGAATCATCTCTGCTAGGGGCCGAATGGAAATCAAATACAGTAGAAGGTTCCGTGTGTGTGTGTGTGTGTGTGTCTGTCTGTCTGTCTGTCTGTCTGTCTTAAGTAACTATCTGTCTGTCTGTCTGTCTGTCTGTCTGTCTGTCTGTCTGAAGTAACTGGAGAGACAGAGCCCCTACTGAACATCTCTTGTCACCAAATGAAACTTCCATGAATGGATACCTCCAATCAAGTTGTTGACTAACAGGGTCCCATGGGAACCCCCAAACAATCCAGGCTATTGTCAAAGCTACTGGTAGCTCTCCACAAACTGGCCCTAGACAACTCACTGAACACAGACAGAGAAGTTCCACTGGTGCCTACCTGGAGCTTCACCCAGGATGGGTGTTCACCGGCCTGGAATTCACCCAGGACAGGTGTTCACTGGCCTGGAATACACTCTGCACAAGGCCAAAGGAGAAACGTAAACACTCACCCAGCTAGAAACCCTTCAATCGACAATCATAGTCTGATGGAGGAAGGTCACTGGTTAAAAAATAAAAAAACTGCTTGGCCCTCATAGGTTAGAACATAGGTGGGTGGAGTAAACAGAACAGAATGCTGGGAGGAAGAGGAAGTGAGCTCAGACTCGATAGCTCTGCTCTCTGAGACAGACACGATGAACCTCCGATCCAGGATGGACGTAGGCTAGAATCTTCCCGGTAAGCGCACCTCGGTGCTACACACATTAATAGAAACGGGCCAGGCAGTGTTTAAATGAATACAGTTTGTGTATTGTTATTTCGGGGTATAAGCTAGCCAGGAGGCCAGGAGGTGGGGCGGCAGGAATGCAACCCACAGCTCCTTCAACAATAGTCTGCCTACCAGATGCCCCGGTGCAATAGTGGAGTGGCCAACCACTGTCTGATCGGATTGAAGGCCCATTTCATGAGGTGGAACCAACCCTGACTGCTCAGGTGGCCAGGGATCTGGGGGAAACCAAACACTGCTCTTCTTCACAGAGCTTCCTCTTACAGTAGACAAGAGCAAGAGAGACCTACAATGGGACAATGTGCACAGTGAGAAACCTTGGAACACTCAGTCCTAAGGAGGACATTTCCATCAAATCCCTCCCCTCAGGGCTCAGGGAATCTTGCAGAAGAGGCAAAAAGACTGTAAGAGCCAGAGGGGATGGAGGTCACCAAGGAAACAGTGCCTTCCAGACACACAGAACTGACACACATGAACTCAGAGACGGAGGCAGTATGCCCCAGGCCTACATGGGGTCCCAGAGCTGAGAGCAGGGAGCACATGCCTTCATCCCTAACCCAGAAGCTGTATTCCATTGATGACCACTTGCAAACTAAAAATTAGGTTTCTCCAACAGTTTCACTGGGTATACAAACCATTCTGTTATTATTATTATTTTTTTTTTTTGAGACAGGGTTTCTCTGTGTAGTCCTGGCTGTCCTGAAACTCACTCTGTCGACCAGGCTGGCCTTGAACTCAGAAACCTACCTGCCTCTGCCTCCTGAGTGCTGGGATTAAAGACATTCACCACCACTGCCTGGCTTTAAAGAGTGCTGAGAATAAAGGTGTGTGTCGCCACCACCTGGCTTATAAGTAGTTTTTGAATGCTCAGCTCTAAGTGGGACATCTATGGTACTCCCTCCAAGGCTCAAGGTATAGGGAATTGGAGAAGGAAGAATGTAGGGCCAGACATTGTCTACACGCCTGTGAATAACCACTCACCCACGCTCAGGTAAGTAACCCAGTTAAACACCTAGGGTTCGAATGAAAAAGGAAAAAAAAATACACAAAAGAAGGGAGACAATTTGAGAAGCGGGAGGGGCCAGTGGGAGTGGCAGGGGTCAGGAGAGGGTTATGAAGTTCATGTGACTATGATCCAAATACATTATATACATATATGTCACGGAGTCCATTATTAACAAAATACATTATATACATATATGCCATGGGATCATTATTAACATAGTCAACATGGGCTAATGAACACCTTTTTAAAAATGGGTGGAGCTTGAGAGATGCTCAGCAATTAAGAGCACCTACTGCTGTTCCACAGGATCTGTTCCCAGCACCCAGACTGGGTGGCTCACATCTGACTCCCTTCTGGCCTCACTGGGCACCAAGACATGTGCAGCACATACTCCAACACATGTGGACACACACATGTACAGCACATACTCCAACACATGTGGACACACATAAGCAAAAACTTTAAAACCCTTTTCAAAGGCTTTAAAGAGAGGCTGGAGAGATGGCTTAGAGATTAAGAGCACTGGCTGCTCTTCATAGGTCTGAGTTCAATTCCCAGCAACCACACAGTGGCTCACACCCATCTACCATGAGATCTGGTGCCCTCTTCTGGTGTGCAGGCACACATGCAAGTGAAACACTGTATACATAATAAATGTCTAAATCTTTAAAGGCTTTAAAGGGAACACAGGAAGGACTTTCGCTGGTACCTGGCCTGCAGTAAGTATGGGTTACTACCTGCCTTAACATTTACTAACTGATTACTGCAGAATTTCACCCAGTTTCTGACTTTTTTTTTTTTTTTTTTTTTGAGTCTTGTGTGGCCCAGGCTGGCCTCTCACTCACCACATAGCCTAGGATAACCTTGAACTTCTGACCTTTCTGCTTCTGCCTCCTGTGTTAAGATCACAGGTATGCACCACCACGCCAGCTCTTCTCTTTTTTAAGAGGGCACTAGTCCCAAGAGTGAAGGTTCTACTCCATGGTGCCACAACTTCCTCCTACAAGCACTTTGGAGGCTAGGGTAAAGTCAGGGAGCACTGGGGGACACAGGCACTGCGACAGTCGGTCCCACATTACGTGTGAGAGCTGGCGAATGTGGCCAGCTGACAAGCGTTCCCCAGTACCTATCTGCACATAATACCTCCAAGCCCCAAGGAAGCCAGCTGCCTTCCTTCCGCTTTCCCAGTTCCTGAAGGCGAATGGGGGATGAGGCTATGGCTCCAAATCTGAGAGGTGGAATGACTCCCAGGGGACATCTGGAAGGACTTGGACGTTCTGATCGTCAGACAGGAGGTGGAGTGGACGGTGCTGTTGGTGGCCGAAGGGCACAGATCAGATGCACCTGAATACCTGGGACACAGCACCCAGCACCACGTGTCAACTGTGCCAAGATGAAAAAACACTGCCCTGGAACTCCTGAGGGCCTGTCAGAAGCACTGGGCAGGAGTATCATTCTCATGTCTAAGCTTAAGAGCCCTGGGCTGCTTGTTAAGTCAACACCAAGAACCTCCCATAGATTTAGCGTTCAGTAACTGGCAACAAGAGCTCACTAATGCACACACAAGACAGCCCACACCACACCACACCACACCACCCTTATCTTCACCGTAACCTGTGATCAGGCTGCTAAAGTTAGCTTAATGTCTGCCGACTCCATGATGTGCACAACTCCCCAGCAGTCTGCCACGGGTGCACCTCTACATCTTCCAGTCTCTCCCAGGGTCTTTACACGGCAGCTATACAGCTGTCCTGTCCATCAAAAGGCTACCTCCTACCTCCAATACGGAAACCTAGCCAACTGCCTGGGCTGGTGAGCTCTGGATCTAGAGGAGAACCTTTACCTCCACTTACTAGACCGGCATGACTCCTAACTGCATGCTAAACCTTACTCCTATATCTGTACACATAAGTGTAGCTCTCGCCTCTTATCGGAGAAACTTCGTTTAACAGCAAACAGAGACCATTACAGAACACCTCAACTGTAATAACAGAGACCAGTGGACTGCTGGGAGACGAATCCCAAAGGCTACATCTACAACACAACTCTTGCACCCAAAGCCCAGGGACGCTGCACAAGAAGGGGTGGACGGACTATAACAGCCAAAGAACCATGGAGTCTGCTGTGAGGTTTCATCTCCTAGAAATGACAGAGAGCCGACAACCATGATACCTCAACGGTACAGCTGCCAAAACAAGACCAGAACAGTGGAAAATCAATACATGTGCTAACTCAAAGATGGAGATCCCATGGATTACCCCAGACAAAGAACTAACAACTGTTGAGAGAGGAAGAATTAGCCTCTCTCAGGAATGAGTCCTCTAATTGGCTTTACAATACCAAATCGCTATACACCCAAGCAACACTAAACGGACTGAGCAGGTTGTGTTTATATAGTTATACACTATATGTGTTATATATATATGTGTGTGTGTGTTTCTGTGTGTATAGTGTGTGTACAGACACACAGTCAAAGAAAAACAATCCGTCAACTTGGGAGTACTGGGGAATATTCAAGGTGTTGGGGGGAAAAGGAGAAAAATAATGTTATTATACTTTTAATTTTTAATATAAAGAGTTGCTGAGAGCTGGATTAACTGAATACAGCTGAGAGTAGCAATGTAAAGAGGTAAAGAGAAGAACATTACTCCACGTTCCTGGTGATGACCAGCCAGGCAGCTGAAATCACTCCAAAAGGCAGAGGCTGGGTCCCCGACATTGTAAAGGGACCCCTACAAAGAGTAAGAGCATGCCAGGACCCAGTGAGATGGCTCAGCGGAGAAAGGTGCACACCTCCCCTCCATGTCCAAAAAGCTGAGTGTGAGCCCCAGAGCCCGACAGTGACAGCAAGAACCGACCCCTTCAGGCTGTCCTCTGACATCCTATATGTATGTCATGGTATGTCGGGGCCACTCCTCCTCACCCCACAGAAAAACGCAAAAGGATCAAGCATTTCCCAGCATGCTTTTTTTTTTAAAACTGGAGTTACAGACTGTTTTAGCCACCATATGGGTGATGGGATTTCAACCCTGGTCATCAGGGCTGGAGAGATGGCTCAATGGTTAAGAACACTAGCTGTTCTTCCAGAGAGTTTGGGTTCAATTCCCAGAACCCACATGGCAGCTCACAACTGTCTGTAACTCAAGTTCCAGGATTTCTCACACCCTCACACAGGCATACACGTAGGCAAAACACCGACACATGTAAAAATAAATATAGATATGTGTGTGTATGTGAGTATACACACATACACATCAGTCATTCAATCAATCACCCTGGTCATCTACAAGAGCAGCAAGTGCTCTTAACCACTGAACCAAGTCGCCAGCCCTCAGCCCATTTGTCTTTAAGGTTGAGTTAGACTGTATTGTTTTTTGTTTTTTGTTTTAGTTTTTTGAGACAGGGTTTCTCTGTAGCTTTGGAGCCTGTCCTGGAACTAGCTCTTGTAGACCAGGCTGGCCTCGAACTCACAGAGATCCGCCTGCCTCTGTCTCCCGAGTGCTGGGATTAAAGGCATGCGCCACCACTGCCTGGCAGACTATATTGTTAAAACTTGCCATCAACTCCATTATCAGTAGCCTCAGCACTCGGGAGGCAGAGGCAGGCAGATCTCTGTGAGTTCGAGGCCAGCCTGGTCTACAGAGTGAGTTCCAGGACAGCCCGAGAAACACAGAGAAACCTGTTTCGGAAAAACAAACAACAGAAAAGCTCCTTATCAGTTTCCCAGATCAAGTCCCTTCTTACACTACGGGAAGGGAAACAAAGAACTAACCCTGGCTAAGCACCACTGTGGGAGGATGCTAGGCAGGAGGAATGGGAAAGGCTCCCTCGTTGCCCTCCTCGCAGGAACCTGGAAGACACACCTATCAACACATTAGTGTGCTCAGACAAATGGTGTGAGCGGTCAGTAGCCCCTTATGAAAGCCCATGGCAGATGTCTCTCAGGAGACTTCCTCTGAGGCAAGACCCAATTCCTGCAATAAAGAGAAAACCCAGTTTTATGAGCTGAAGTGGTCAGCCTAAAGTCAGATGGAGAAAGTCCTCACACCTGTGGGTGAGGTAACAGTCCACATAAAGAAGCTGTACCCTAGACAGCAGCCTGCAGACCTCCACAGCTGAGTGTTGGGGAGTAGCCTGCAGATTTCCATGGCTGAGCCTTGGGTGGGGTGGGGGACAGCCTGCAGACCTCCACAGCTGAGCCCTGTGTGTGTAAGGTGGGATAGCCTGCAGACCTTCACAGCTGAGCCCTGTGTGTGTGTGGTAGGATAGCCTGCAGACCCTCCACAACTAACCCTTGGGTGAGGTAGCTTGCAGACCTTCACAGCTGAGCCCTGTGTGTGTGTGGTGTACAAAACCCAAAAGTTGGCCTAAGTCAAAGGTTAACAGGGAAAACTTCCAAGCCGCCTGGAACTCACATCCAGGCACCGGCCTTCAAAAATAAACTCAAGGGGGCGATAAGGATCACAGACTGCTCGCTGGTGACTGATTGCAGGGCTAAAGCTGAAGTGATGGGGGAGGGGGTCTCGAAACCGGCCCCACAGGAAAAGCAGGGACAGTGAACTGAGCAGTGAGCTGTTCCTTCTCTGCACGGAGCTTAGAAACTAAAAAGTAAACCAGTGACGCTAGTCCCAGCCACGGAGGGCAACAAGCCGGTTAAAGTGAATACTGCAAAGGTTAACGATTACCTCCTGTTGACCACACGGACGGGCGGCTGACTTCTTGCCCAAGGTCCACTATGGGAGGAGGGGAGTTGTGTGTTCCCCTTCAATAACCTCTGACCATTGTTTTCTGCTTTTTGATTTCTCCAAGTTATTGGTATTTTGGGGGAGGGGGTCTCACACACTCCTTGCAAAATGCCTCTGGAGGCCTGAGGTGGAGTTTGGGCGTGTTTACCTATCTTTAAAAGTCTCCTACTGAACTAAGGCTTGCTGTTTCAGCAGGGATGACAAGTCAGGGAGGTGTGGCACTGAGGTGTCCCTGTGTTCAACCTTTCCTTGAGGACTGACCCCAACTCCCAACTCCGGCCCTCAGCTTGAACCTTTACCATTGAGCCATCCCTCTACCATCCAGTCTGGTTTGGTTTGCTTTTACCTTTGAACAAGAGTTTTTCTGTGTAACAGCTCTGACTGTGCTAGAAGACCAGGTTGGCCTCAAAGGCACAGAGATCCACCTGCCTCTGCCACAGGCGTGCGTTACCACCACCCGACTGCTTTTTACTTGTATTCTATGAAGTGTATAACTTTCAGTGTCTCCTTCTTCCCCCTTGCTCCCCGACACTCAACTGTCCTTCAAGGGGCCAGGAATCTGCACTGGGGACTTTGTGCCCTCAGCTATACAACACACCAAATATTTACTCGGAGAACAAGAACTGCTGAATTGGGGCAAATTCCAGCCACCGTCATCCTTGGGCAAAGAACAATCGCACCTTTCACAGACAATCTCCATGTCTTTGGCTGTAAAATGGGGGCTACAATCCAGGCTGGAGAGAGTCTCAGGGGTTAAGAGCACTGGCTGCAGCCAGGCAGTGGTGGCCCACACCTTTAATCCCAGCACTCAGGAGATGAAGGCAGGCAGATCTGTGAGTTCGAGGCCAATCCGGTTTACAGAATAAGTTCCATGACAGCCAGGAAAGCCTGTCTCGAAAATAAAATAAAAATAAAAAAAGAGCACTGCTCTTTCAGAGGAACCAGGTTCAATTCCCAGCACTGGCATGACAGTTCACGACTGTCTGTAACTGCAGTTCCAGGGGATTCAACGGACATATATGCAGGCAAACCACCAATGCACGTAAAATAAAAATCATTTAAAAAAAAAAAAGGACCCAGAACAGCACCCGGCAATAAACAAATTCATAAATTCCATCTAGGTACTCAAGTTTGCATTTACTCCTAACGCGAGTTTACCCCAAAGTTCCTTGTGAGGGGTTAGGAAAAGCACACTGTGAAACAAGCGCCCAAGACTAAAATATAAATTGGAACAGGTGTTAAAAGGGGGTGAAGAAGAGTGCTGTGGTGCGTTTCTTTTTATTCCAGCACGTCCTCCGGGGTGTGAAGACAGAAAGTAGGGTTCAAGGCTTAGCTTGGCTACACAATGAGTGTGATTATCCTGGGCTACACAAGACCCTGCCTGAAACAAAACTAAACAAAAAAGCTGGTTTTGTAATCTTGTAATTACAACGCTTGTAATCTCAGCACTTGGGAGGAGTAAATCCATCTTATCCGGTTAAAATCAGTCTTCAAGCCCCTTCCGCACATTCACGATTTTCGCCTCTAGCGACAAGCTAAAGAAGCGGGTGCTCTTTTAATAAGAACAGAACAGGTTCTTGTCCTGCAGAATCTCAACTCGACAGAAGTGCACGTGAACTTGCGAATAGCGCACAGTGCGAGCCACCTGCAACCCATCTACGCAGCTATGGCACGGTGCCCCTGAAAGAACCCCTTTCCCGCAATCCTTTTCGAAGATGTTAGAGATCCCGGCGACCCAGGCTTCCACAGTAGGGTTGGACTTACACCCCACGCTTAGTTCCCAACCATCCCAGGGTTCCACCTCGAGCATCTCACCACCTTCCCATTGCCCAGCCTCCCCGGGCCTCCAACTCTCCCGCGTCTGCACCTCGCGTCCCTTCCCCTCCCCAGCCCACCCCCAGCACCCCAACCCGCCCTAGTCTCTTTATCATCTCCCTCCCCGAAGCCGCCCACCCCTCCTTTCCTCTCTTCCTCCTTCAGACCCAAGTACCCCTCCCTGTGATCCGTCTGTCCCCGTATACCAGACCCCCCCCCGTCCCTCCCTCCCTTTCCCCCTAGCTCACCTCACTCTCCAGGGCGAGGCCCCCAAAGCACCCTCACCTTGCCGCACATGCGCACAAAGCTCACCAGGACTCCATGCCCCAGCAGGCTTTGCGCCAAACTCACCCGTCCCTCCCCCGTCCCTACGTCCCCTTACCCCAACACTCGGAACCGCCAGTTCTATCCAATAACTCCGCTCCTCCTCGGCCAGCTGGGAACTACAACTCCCAAGAAGCATCGCGACAAAAGCAGCTTCCCATTGGCCCTCACTGTGATGACTCTCGGACCTGAGCCGGCCAACTCTGCCTGCACAAAAACTACATTTCTCGAGATGCATAGAAGCAAACCCCCTCGCTATTGGCACACTGATGCAAAAGGAGTGCTTCTGATTTTGAACTACATTTCCCAGATATCACATGGTGTTTTCCTCCCCTCCCCCGCCCTCAGAACAAGACGCCCCGCAGGCGGACCTCAGGCATGCGCAGATGTGTCGAGGAGGGACAGGCGGACTCGGTGGAATCGTCATGGAAACCGGTGGAGGCGGCACACTTTGGAGTTCTGCCTTCCGGACCTTTGCCAGTAGAAGAGGTCCAGGAGGCCTGGCCAGAGTTCTCTCCCAATCATCAGTGGGAGATCCGTCTCCTTGACAACGGTCGCAGTTTCGCCCGCCCTCTCCAGTAGTAGATTAAAGGAAAGTTGAGCTGGTGAACTAAAGCTCACCCGGTACCGCCCACTCTTTGGCCTCCGTTTCCCCTCACGTGCATAGGGAGGAGAATACTACCTGTCAAGCGGCCCTTGTAGAGCCTCATTGGACAGACTACATCCTTCGTTTCCCTACCTCAGAAACAGGAAGAAGGTTTTGGGTTTGTTTTTTGTATGAGTGTTTTGCTTGCATGTGAATCTGTGCACCGCGTCCAAGCCATACCCATGGAGGCCAGGAGAGAGCGTGGGATCACTTAGAACTGTAGTGCTGGGAATTGAATATAGGTCCTTTAGAAGAATAGCCTGTGCTTTTAACCTCTTTGCCATCTCTCTGGCCTCTCCCTCCACTCCCCTGCATCTCCCCCTACAAGGTAATGAGAGGTTGTTTCAGTTCGAATAATGGATGGCTCTTTTTTTAAAAAAAAATTCATTTATTAATGTATCTTGTGTGTATTTTATTTATGTGTTACTTTTACATGCTTTGTCTGCACATATGCCTGCACGCCAGGAGAGGGCATCAGATCACATCACAGATGGTTGTGAGCCACCAAATGTGGTTGCTGGGAATTGAACTCGGGACCTCTGGAAGAGCAGCCAGCCAGTGCTCTTAACCGCCGAGCCTCTGCTCCAGCTCATGATGGATGGCTCTTACAAGCAAGTGGTGGATCAGACAGACTAGAGACTCTCCCCTCCTCACTGGACTTTGAAAGAGGTGACAGTGTCAAAGGCAAGCATGCATGAAGCAGAAGTTGCTATTGACTTCGCCAAATCCGTGGATGGACAAGACCCTTCTCCTAGCTTCTACAGCTATCTGCTAGCTACTGCAGAACTGGGTACCAACCTTCTACCCCATGGCTGTTGAACTTGATCCTGACCCACGCTCTTGTCCTGTGGGCCTCATCTTGCTAAGTGTGCCAGTCACACGAGCTGCGCTTCTGTTCCTTTCCTATATAGTATATTTCACCTTCCGGTTGAATTCATTCGTTAGATACTTTTAAGCCCTTTTAAGACAGAGTCTCTTGTAGCCCAGGTTAGTCTCAAACTCATAATGTAGTCAAAGATGATGCTCCTGCCTCCACCTCCAGGATGTTGGAATTACAAGTATGTACTACTATGCCCGGTTTTATTTTAATATTTATTTATATTGTTTTAAACTATGTTTGTTTTGATTTGGGGGGGGGTTGAGTGTCACAGTTTGTATGTAGAGGACAGAGGGCAACTTTCAGGAGTTGGTTATCTTTCCACCAAGTGGAGACTGGGGATCAAAATCAAGACATCAGGCTTGACCACAGGTGCCTTTAACCCTGAGCCATCTCAACGGCCCAATTTCCTTTCATTGTCAAACTGAAAATTGTAATCTCAGCACATGGGAGGTGGATACAGGAAGATCCGGAGGTCAAGATTTCAGCCTTGGCTGTGCAGTGAGTTTGAGGCCAGCTTGGGCTCTATGAGACACTGTATCAAAAAACAGTGAGATGGGCTGGGCGGTGGTGGAGAACGAGTCTTTAATCCCAGCACTACAGAGACTGAGGCAGGTGGGTCTCTGTGAGTTCAAGTCCAGCATGGTCTACAGAGCTAGTTCTAGGACAGACTCCAAAGCTACACAGAGAAACCCTGTCTTGAAAAACTGAACCAAACAACAACAACAAAACAAGCAAAAGCAAACAAACAAAAAACAGTGAGATGACTCAGCTTGTCAGGATGCTTGCTGCCAAACATGACAGTCTTTGATTGTGGTGCTTGTTAGAAGAAAAGAACTGACTTGTGCAAGCTGCCCTCTGACCTACAGGCATGTGCAAACACACACAGAATATGTTATAGATTTATAATATTTGTTATAAAAATTATTTGTTAAAATATTTATTTATAGCCGGGCCGTAGTGGCACACTGCCTTTAATCCCAGCACCTGGCAGGCAGATCTCTGTGAGTTCGAAGCCAACTTGGTCTACAACAGCTAGTTCCAGAACAAGCACCAAAGCTACACGAGAAACCCTGTCTCAAAAAAAAAATTTAAAAATTATTTATAGCTGGGCAGTGGTGGCTCACTCCTTTAATCCCAGCACTGAGGAGGCAGAGGCAAGGAATCTCTGTGAGTTCAAGGCTACTCTGATCTACAGAGTAAATTCCAGGACAGCCAGGGCTGTTACACAGAGAAACCTGATGGGGGAGAGTCTTCTGTTTTGTGTTAATTTCATTGGTTAAATAAAGAGACTGCCCTGGCCCTTTGATAGGACAGAAAATTAGGTAAGCAGAGTAGACAGAACAGAATGCTGGGAGAAAGAAGCTGAGTCAGGCAGTCACCATGATTCTCCTACCCAACACAGCCACAGGTTAAGATCTTCCCTGGTAAGCACCTCGTGGGCTACACAGATTATTAGAAATGGGTTAGATCAATATGTAAGAGCTAGCCAATAAGAGGCTGGAACTAATGGGCCAGGCAGTGTTTAAAAGAATACAGTTTCTGTGTAATTATTTCGGGGCATAAGCTAGCCAGGCGGCTGGGAGCAGGGCGGCAGGAATGCAACTCGCAGCTCCTTCAACAGAAACCCTATCTTGAAAAAAACAACAAAAAAATTAATTTATAAAGATGTGTGTGGGTGTTGTCTTTAAGAACAGCAAACACCAATAACTACTTACCCATATCTCCAGCCACCCAATTAAAAATAACAACAACAAAGTCTGGGGACATAGCTTAGTATCAGAAAGCTTAATATGCTAAGACTCTGAACTCTGGGGAGTGGAGAGATGGCTCAAAGGTTAAGAGCACTAACTCTTCTTCTGGAGGTCCTGAGTTCAGTTCCCAGCACCCACATGGTGGCTCACAACCATCTCTAATGAGGTCTGGTGCCCTCTTGTGCAGGCAGACATGCTGGAAGAACACTGAATACATGATAAACAAATAAACCTTTTTAAAAAGGCTTCTGAACTCATCCCACACCACAAAGAACAGGACTAACTAAGATCCCATCATATGGATACACAACATTTTGCATATCCATGCATGAGAGGGATCCTTTAGACATGGAGAAGACTTTAGCTTGTCTGTTAGAAACATTCAAACATACATGGTTGAGTTTCTCTCGTACACCACCCCACATGTCTGACTCTTTCAGATCCAAGATCCTGTTGCAGGGACAGGGTCTTTGTTCACATCAGCAGAAGCAGGCTGAAGTGAACAGAAACAGTCCTCTGAAGCCACAGGCCTGGGCTGGAGCATGAGAACAGAGCCAATAGATTAGGAGAAATATTTCCGCCTCCACTTCCTGCTTGGCCAGATGCCTATAGACTGGGTGTGAGGTTCAAACGGACCTGCAGCCCAGCACCTCTTTCCCCACTCCCTACCTGCACCAACGCACGGGTCACCTGTTTATATTCACGTTCTCCCAGCCCCTCTCTAGAGTTGGTTGTTGTTGTTATTGTTTTTGTTTGGTTTTCGAGATAGGGTTTCTCTGTAGCTTTGGAGACTATCCTGGAACTCACTCTTTAGACCAGGCCAGCCTCAAACTCACAGAGATCCTCCTGACTCTACTTCCTGAGTGCTGGGATTAAAGGTGTGTGGCCCCACCTGACCAGAATTGATGTTTAATAAAGATATTTTAATATAGACATAACAGTTAAGAGAAAAATACTGCAGCTCAGAAAAAAGTAAAATATTTGATGAAGAGTCCAAAAATAAGAATATAGAAATGTAGATTCCAGAAATAAAAATGTATAAATAAATAAATAAATACAAAATTGTAAGCCTAGGAGAATGAGAGCAGGCTGTCAGCAGCTTATGGATTAACTAGTAACAGTGAGCTACTTTGCTTTACAACTGGCTGCTCTGTTTACAAGACCAGTGTATCCTTCTAGAAACTGAGGGTCAGCTCTGTACACTGAGAATTAGCCCTAAGATAACCCCCCGGCCACTCATGACCAGCAATTGATGTGAGCTGAGTTAACTTTTTTTTTTAATTAAAGATTTATTTATTTATTAAGCATACTATGTACTGCTGGCAAGGAACGCACCAGGTCTCATTACAGATGGCTGTGAGCCACCATGTGGTTGCTGGGAATTGAACTCAGGACCTCTGGAAGAGCAGCCAGTGCTCTTACCCTCTGAGCCATCTCTCCAGCCCCCCCTGAGTTAACTTTTAAATGGCGGGATGTACGTGACTTTTGACTCTTTGGTTTTACATTGTCCCTTTTCCTTCTCTGCTATGTAAAAGTGGCAGTATCGGGAGGGCAAGGCTTCGGTAAACACCATCAGCAAGCACCAGAGAGAAACAATGGGCTAAATACAAACCACTGGCTTAACCGAAAAAAAAAAACCCTGTTAGTGGAAATTGTATCTGAGTTTTACCTTGAGATTGTAAAAATTCTTTTGTTATTGCCTAATCCTTAGTATAAAAAGGTGGGGTTCGGAAGCTGTCGTTTGCCACAGCCTTACAAGCCCGAACTCTGGCTGTAGTCTCAGCTAG